ATTTGAATTTCGGTTCATCTTTTGCTCATGTACCAACAAGGAGCTTTGCAATTCGTCAAGTGACAAAGCATCTATGTCTTTTGACTCCTCAATCGAGCATACAACATAATTATATTTCGATGACAGGGAACGCAATATCTTTTCAACAATTGTGACATCGTTCATTTTCAATCCATGAAATCGCATCTTGTTACTTATCTCCATGGTTCTAGTGCAATAGCTAGTGACAGTTTCACCCTCCTTCATCTGCAAAGTTTTGAAATCCCTCCTCAAGGCTTGAAGTTGTACTCGTTTCACTCTTGTAGTACCTTGATACTTCTTTTTCATGGAGTCCTATATATCTTTGGAAGTTTCTTTGCAAAAGAATAGTTTCCAAGATAAGGCGCTCAATAGCCTGAAAAAGGTAATTTTTTGCCTTCAAATCTTTCAGCTTTCTTCCTTCAAACTCCGTCTTTTGTGCATTCGTCAAAGCTTGTCCTTCCACTGGAGCGCCGATTCCATCCTCAACAATTGGTCAATACTCATTTGACCGTAAAAAATTTTCCATCAACATACTCCAATGGTCATAGTGACCATCAAAATGAGGGATGTCTGCTTGCACAAAGTTGCTCTCTGAAGCCATAGATGAATAATGATTTTTTGGGTGAACTCTCCTCATAGGTGTTTTTTTCTAGATTACACCTAGCTCTGATACCATTGATAGAAAATAACAAATAGAACGATGAAGAAAGCAGATTGAAATAAGGAACTAAAGATTGCGCAACTCTCTTATGTTCAATAGCAATCAAGATAAGTCAATATATAGACTTTTTACAAAGAGTTTTCTGTTACGCATAAAATCCATAAACCCACGACTACTAGGACTCCTAACTGACGCTACTAACTCACTAAGAATCTGCTACTTCATAATAATTAGGAGCTGAACATTTTAACAAAATAAAAAGGCCAACAAACATTAAATAAATGATTCCTAAACAAAAGAACACTTCCAACAGAAGGTGTGTGCTTTGAGGTTCAAAAAGACAGCCAGAGCAAGGATTGTGAAGGCTGGTGGTGGATGTTTGACAATCGATCAGCTGGCTCTCAAGGATCCACTTGGATAGAACACGCTTCTCCTCAAAGGTCCTAAGGATGCATGTGAAGCAGCGAAACACTTTAGTCCAGCTCCATGATTTTCCTAGTAAGGTTTTAGCGAGACACATTATCTATGGACATCTAAGAGGCAGTGTTATAAAATTTTATGGTGTGGATGTCCACTACACCAAGAAGTTACTATCACTAATTATATTCATTACTTCCCTCCATTGTGTAGATAACCTCCACCTCTATGATCGTCATTCTTGTAATCTTACACCTCCATAACCTCCTCCATTATCTTCATGATTAATATCATGTTTATGAATTATGACTAACATTTGGTATGCCTCTATGTAACACTATACATAGAGGCATAAGAGTTCATATTGTAAATACTTGGAAACTTGGAAGAATAAAAAAAATTCATCTCTTGTCTCTCTATTTCTATTGCATTCATCTTCTATATTTCTTATCTTATTTTGCTTTAATTTTACAACGAATGATTATGTGTTTAAATATGTCATAGTTTGAAAAACTTTCTATTTCTACTTATTTTGACTATTGAGGGAGTTGGATAGGCCCGATGTAGAGAGATGAGTATATTTTTAGGAAATTTTATATGGTACAACAAAGATGTATTAAATATTTATTATTCATAATTATATATTTTTTAAAATTATAATTTATAATTATTCTTTGTTCTCTTTAGCTTCTCTCTTTCTCGCTCTTTTTTTCTTACCACCTTTATTTTCCGACCCTTATGTTATCTTTTTATTAATTTTTCCCTGTAAGTTTTGCTTCTTCTTCCCTTTTATCCTTGTTAATTGCTTTGGTTTATGTGTTAAAGCTCAAGGGAAATTTTTTATTCTTAAACTTCAAGATCTAATCTTTGTCTTGTATTTAATTGTTTTAGATTTAATTTCAAGTTTTGAGCTTCTCTATTAAATTACCTCTTTAATGCATTCCCTTTTTTTTTAGTGTATGTCGGTTCTAAGCATGAAATGATATAAATTCGTAACAATTGATAAGTAATGGTTATGTAAGTGGAATTGGAATATATGAATATAGTTTTGTGTATTTTTAATTTGTATTTTTGTATACACTTGGACCATTTTGCCTAATAGTTGCTAAATATCAAAATTATCTAAAACCCAAATTATAGTAAATTTTAAAAAATCCTCATATATATATATATATACTAGACATCGGAGCCCGTGCTAGCACGGGCCCAATATGTATCATTTTTTGTTTCAATTTATGTGACAAAGACAAAATTAAAGAGTTAATTAAACTTTAATATTAATTTAAAATAGTTTAAATTTTTAACTATTGTTAACTATGGTAAAAAAAAATTTATGTCTTTTAACATTCTAAATTGCTAATTATTGTTTTATGATTTGTAATATCTTTTACGCAATTTTGAAATAATAAAGGTTATTTCTTCTTTCTCAATTTATGTGATACTAATAAAATTTCGAGATTCAATCAATTTTTTTTGTATTTAAAATATTCTATTGTTAATTACTGTAAATTATTGTACTTTCTAAGTAATTTTCAAATAATATATATTATTTCATTTGTCCAATTTATGTGTCACCGATAAAATTTGAAGAGTTAATCAGATCTTTTACATATTTTTATATCTTTTGAATATTTAAGTAAATAATTATTGTGATTTATAATATTTTATACAATTATTTAAAAAAAATTAAACAACAAACAAAATGAATTCATCATAGAAAAATTACCAAAGCATCCTTGAATACATCAATAATGGGTCCCACTTTTTGTTTAAAAAAATATGCATATTGGGAGGATATTTTTGTCCAAAGTGAAAATAGAATAAGTATAAAGCATTAAAGTCTTACAAAATTTTAAATTGTTAATTCTTATTGTATGATTTGTAATACTTTTATGTCATTTTCAAATAATAGAGGTCATTTCTTCTTTCTCAATTTATGTAGTACTAAAAAAAATTTGAGATTCAATCAATTTTTTTGTCTTTGAAATCTTTCTAGGTGTTAATTACTGTAATTTATAGTACTTTCTAAGAAATTTTCAAATAATATATATTATTCATTTGTCCCAAATTATGTGTCAGCAGTAAAATTTGAAGAGTCAATCAGATCTTTTATATATTTTTATATCTTTTAAATTTTTAAGTAATTAATTATCGTGATTCATAATATTTTATACAATTATTTAGTATAGTAAAATAAATTTAAAAGAAACAAACAAAACGAATTCATCATAGGAAATTACCAAAGCATCCTTCAATACATCAGTAATGGGTCCGACTTTTTGTTTTTAAGAAATTGAACATTCAAAGGATATTTTTGTCCAAAGTGAAAATAGAGTAAGTATAAAGCATTAAAGTCTTTTAAAATTTTAAATTGTTAATTCTTATTGTATGATTTGTAATACTTTTACGCTATTTTCAAATAATATAGGTCATTTCTTCTTTCTCAATTTATGTAGTACTAAAAAATTTTTGAGATTCAATCAATTTTTTTTGTCTTTGAAATATTTCTAGTTGTTAATTACTGTAATTTATAGTACTTTCTAAGAAATTTTCAAATAATATATATTATTTCATTTGTCTCAATTTATGTGTCACCGGTAAAATTTGAAGAGTCAATCAGTTTTTTTATATATTTTTATATCTTTTAAATATTTAAGTAATTAATTATCGTGATTCATAATATTTTATACAATTATTTAGTATAGTAAAATAAATTTAAAAGAAACAAACAAAACGAATTCATCATAGGAAATTATCAAAGCATCCTTCAATACATCAATAATGGGTCCGACTTTTTATGTTTAAGAAATTGCACATTCGAAGGATATTTTTGTCCAAAGTAAAAATATTGTGTAAAAAATGTGTATTTATTGTGATTTTGAATGTTTTGAGGGGTAATAAAACGCACGCAAAGTTAAGGTGTCTTTTTGAAAATCTGGGACAACTTCAAGTATCACTTAATGTTTTTTCTCAAAATCTAATTTACTTTCGTAAACTATGTGTCAGATCAAAATCAAATTAACAAATTCAAAAGGAATGAGTAATAAATACTCCCTCTGTCCCATTTTATGTGGCAACATTTCCTTTTTGGTCAGTCCCAAAAAGAATGTCACATTTCCTTATATGGAAAGTATTTAAAGGTACAATTCTTTTTTTATCCTTGTTGGTCCCATTTAATCTTAAAATAATACTCCAATACATTTATGAGGAGAGAGAAATTGAGTCTACTTTTTAAAAGGGCAATTTGGTAAACATTTCAAAGTCTTCATTTATTTCTTAAACTCCGTGCCCGGTCAAATGTTGCCACATAAAATGGGACGGAGGGAGTAGATCATTAACTAAAAATCTTGTTAGCTTTTGGTTGAAAGCTAACAAGATAGTTAGAATGATAGTTGCATTGTGAAAATCTCTTTAGCTTTTGGTTGAAAGCTAACAAGATAGTTAGAATGATAGTTGCATTGTGGCTTATTATATATAGAATATATATATATATTTGCTTGTTTGTATTGGGTTATATTACTTTGACCCAATTGTTTCATAGGGTCAACTCAACGAACGCATCATGATCCAACTCATAAAAATATCATACACATTGACAGTGGCGGACAGTGGAGGAGCTAGGATTGGATTTTTTCACAAGGGATTCAAAATCCGAAGAACTAAACAAACGAACTAACCGATGGGCTTCGACATCTAATTTTACATAATCGAAGTGGGTTCGGATGAACCCCTAACAGAAGGCTGGCTCTGCCCCTGCACATTGGACGTGTTTGAGTTGATTTTGGCACTCATATATCTAAGGGGTCATTTGGTAGTTGGATAGAAACAAGTTCACTCATGATATGACGAACTCTAGTTTACGAAGAAAACATCAAATGATCAGAATTGAATGCATAAAAAGAAGAAGAAAGATTGAAGTTACAATTACAGGATCAAACATCTAGCTAAAGCTCATCGCCAATGGTTGAGTGGGGAATTCTTGATCACATTTATCAAGAATTCACAACATTTACCTTTTACTTGTATACATTTCTTCCACTAACAAAATAATTAAGCATCAACCTGCAGAGCATTTCCTTTTTAGTGTTATGTTAATTAGAAGTTGTGTTTCAAGAACAAATGTTCATGAGGAGAAGCTGGTCCAATTTCTTCTTCCAAACTTCTCAATCCATCAGTTCCATTTCCACAGTTCCTACTTTCTAAATTCTTTGCTTCAACATCTGCGTCCGATACTGAAGACTTTCTTCTCTGAGATGATGCTACACTTGGGAATGTAATCCACGAAGGAGCTCTGAATTCGACATACCTCTGATCCTCAGTTTCTGCAACATCTGTTGTTTCTGACGTTGATCGATTTGATGAGGACTTCTTGTGCATTCTGCTGCTTCCTAGAACAACCTCTGTTGGCAAGATAGGCTGGTCATTGCTTGGACTACCCATCAATTGAGCAAGTGCTCTCTCCAAAGCTGTTGTTACTTTATCCATTGACGGCCTCTCTTTCCCTCTCATCCTCACGCATTTGCTGGCTATATTAGCGATTCTTCTAAGAGCTTCAGCATCAGAAGGTGATTTCAAAACTGGATCCAGTATTGCTTCTATTTCACCAGCTTTGATTAATGGGACTGCCCATTCCACTATGTTCCCTTCATCGTATTGCATGTCAATAGCTTTCCGACCACTCAGAATTTCCAAAAGCAAAACACCAAAGCTATAGACATCAGATTTGGTTGTAAGATAATGTAGTCTGTAGTACTCGGGATCAAGGTACCCAAGTGTCCCTGCTGGTAACTCAGCTAATGGGGAACTGCTATTAGCAGGTCCAAGCAAGGAAAGCCCAAAATCAGCTACTCGAGCATTGTGTTCTTCATCTATAAGGATGTTTGAGGACTTGATGTCTCTGTGAATCACAGGTGGACATGCATAACCATGCAAATATTCGATTCCCCGAGCAGCTTGGACTGCAATGGTTACCCTTCTTATCCAATCCAATTGCTCCTTCTTTTTCCCGTGTAGATGTTCATGCAACGTGCCATTAGCCATGTACTCATAAACTAGAAGTCTCTCTCCACCTTCTTCACAATAACCTAGCAAATTGAGCAAATGAGCATGATTCAACCTGGACAGCAAGTCTAGCTCATTGTGGAACTCCTTTGAATTCTTCTTCATGTCAGATGACATTATAGCCCTCTTGACAGCAACCACAGTACCGTCCTTCAAAACGCCCTTGAACACACACGAAAAGCTACCCTTTCCAACTTGTGATTCTTCTTTGAATCCCTCAGTTGCTCTCTCAAGATCTTCATAAGTAAACATCTGAGCTCTCCTTATTTTAAGATCATCCAAATCAGCCCTATCTTTAGCAATTTCCTTTGGGAAAGTACCATTCTTCCTAGGACTAGGACCTTTCCCTGAACATCTACAGTTCCTTAATTTGTAGCGAACATATACGATCGAAGTTAGAGATACAACACTCACCAAGAATACTGCAAATGCAACCTCAGCAACAATTACTGGTAACTGGAGTGACCAAAATTTAGCGTTCTTCTTTCCAGAAATAGCAGTAGAACAGCTGTTTATGCAGTCAACAGAGATACAACTTGAACAATTATATGTGCACTGACTGTCTGTAGATGAAGTGCATTCAACCTGTTGATACATTTCAGCAGGGCAGCCATTGGTGCAGGGAAGGCAAATGCGAGAATCAGGAAACTTGCAAGTTGCACTTCCGTTGTTAAACTCATAGAAGCCAGATGCACAGGGTCTAGGCTTGCAGACTCCAGGAGAAACAGCGAGTGGTAGCGATGAGGGAAAACCAAACCCCCAACAAACAGGCAAAAGTGAAATTTCTGCAAGGATACCACAAGTGAAGTAGTCACCAGCTGCTATCTCATAAAGCCTAACTCCACTAGGAGGTGGTGTGCTTTTCTCAACTCTGTAACCCCAGCAAACGACATGACGGTCATAGCTCCTAATCCCACAAGCATGAAACTTACCACCAACAACCGATATAATCGGATCACTAGGGGCTGCCAATTCAACATTGAGTTGAGCAACAGAGAATTCTTCTTCAAGGTTCATGCTCCTTCCCCAGCAATACACTTGAGAATTCACCCCTTCTAGGATCCCACAAACATGATATCCCCCAGCTGCAATCTTAATAAATCTCAAATCTTTTGGTGCTAGGGTAATAACCTGGCTACTAGTTTCATCCCCCCAACATAAAACACTTTTATTGACAGAAAACAAAGCACAATTAAACTCAGAACCAGCTGAAATAGAGTGGATCTGACCTTCAAACTCATTGTTTGTAGTCATGTTATAACCCCAGCAATCAACAAGTGAAGTGTTCCTATGCTTCCCCATTAAAGGTTGCCTTAGTCCACACAAATGATTTTCACCTGCAGATATTTCCAAGTATTGAGACCCTTTGATCATAGGCTGAGGCACTCCCATTTGTACAAAATTACTTTTCCCCCAACAATAAGGCTGGTAAGAATCCATCAAAAGTCCACATACAAAGCCATTTCCAGCAGTAAGACCAATAAAAGGGAAATGAGCTGGAGTTGAATATATTATAGAAGAAGTAGAGCCATAGCAACTGACCAAATGAGATCCATCTGACTTCAACCCACAAAAAACAGAACCATATTCACCATATGAAATAGCAATTGAAGACATTGATCCAAACCCTGATACTTTTGAAAATACCACAAGGAGCATAAAAGCTCTTACAAAGTATCTACATTTCCACATCACCACACACCACTTATTAAACACGTCCATTACACAAATTAAAAATTAAACAAAGTACACAAACAGAAAGTCAGTGCTTTCTTTCACCTTTATCCTTTTTGATAGAACCAAAATACCACTCCTCCTTCTCCATAGTAGCTGACTTAATTTATGAAACACACAAAAAAAAAAAAAATAGTTCAAACATACCATGGGTGGGTAGATGAGATCAAAATTCACAACTTTCCTTCATCCCAAATAATTATAATACCCTCGTTATCAATACAACTAAATAAAATTTGTAACCAAGAAGCTGCATATTTCAGTTCAAGAAACACAAAAAAAGAGAAGATAATGACATTTTTTTTAGCCCCTTTTGTGTCAAAGTTATCGGTGCCCTCAAGAATGAAGTGGTGAAAGACAGCATAGGAGAAATAGAGAGAGAAAAGTGAGCATTAAATGCTTCAAAACTACATCTTCTCAAAATAAGAGCAGTGTAGGTGAAAGCATTTAATGAAAAATTTATTGCAAAATTGATATTTCAATGCCTGGATACCTGCACACATGTCCTCCCTTACTTTCTACAAATAACTACTACTTAATTTTATTCAAATTTTCTCTCTTCTTACAGAGTACACCATAATTAACTAAAATTTCCATTATAATTGTACCTACTTAGTACAATCATTATCATAATCCCCCCCTAATCATCCTAAAATTGCTTGCTTTAAAAATTTTGTTTCTACTTCCCCCGTCCAACAATAATTCTCCCTCCGCCTAATTATAGTTATCCATTATATTATTTTGGGATATTCAACAATACTCTATTTATCTAACAATAGTTATCCACTATACTAAAAATAGTTGTCCATCAATATTTGCCCAATCTAGAAAATTAAGAGATATAATTTACCTTTTGTGTTTGTTTTACTCTTGCTATTAAATACTCCCTTTGTTTCTAATTATTTGTCCACTTTTGAATTGACACACCTATTAAGAAATCAATAATTGACATAATGATTTTACCATTTTGCCCCTATTAATTATGAAGTGGATGAATTAAAAACTTAATATTTTCAAGAAGTTCTACTTTTTTTAAAGTAATTAATTGAGGGTATAATAGGTAAAAAAAAAATTGTCCTTTCTTGATTTGTCAAAATGAATAAGTAATTAGGAACAACTAAAAAAAGAAATGTGGACAAGTAATTAGGGACAGGGGGTATTACTTATCATCTAAAACATTTTTCAAAACATTAAATTTAATAAAGGCAAAGGATAATAAAGTAATATTACAATTTACAATATTATTTATTATTTTTTAAGGGGTGTGTCAGATCAATAGTGGACAACTATAATTGGACAGAGAGAGTATTTGTCTACTTTATGAAATCAATAAATAACTTTACACTTAGTTCATAATTTACTCATCATTAATTATAGTTATTTCTCTATTACATTTTTCAAGATATTGCATCTATTACTCCCTTTGTCCCTAATTATTTGTCCACTTTTGAATTGACACACTTATTAAGAAAACAATTATTGACATAGAAGTTTACCATTTTACCCCTATTAATTATGAAGTGGATAAATTAAAAACTTGAGATTTTCAAGAAGCTCTATAGTTTCAAAGTAATTTATTGAGGGTATAATAGGTAAAAAAAAATTTGTTATTTCTTGATTTGTTAAAATTGACAAGTAATTAGGGACAGAGAGAGTATATTCAAAAGGTGATATAGTAAATTACCATTCTATTTATAAATTCATAAAAAATGCGCAAGTGGACAACTATTATTAGATAGAGTGAATATTTATTTTATCCTCTGCGCCAGATTTCAAGAATAGTTCTGCAGACATTTATGTTCTCCTAAAGGAATTAATTTCATTTCACGCTCGGAGAATTAGTGATGATCTAATAGGTTTAATAAGGGTAATGCTAAATGGTCAGAAAATTTAATCAGAATTTGGTCAGAAATTTAAAAAAATTATAATATTTTTTATTTTAAAATAAACTGATCTTTTTTCTATTTTTTAATTAAAAGGTATTAAAGTTAAAAGGGGTAAAAATGTTCAAAAAGGTAAAATAACATAGGTAAAATATTATTCTGGCCAAATTATGGCTAAATTTTTTGGCCAAGAAAATTTTTCCGTTTAATAATTCGTCACTGATGATCTAAAAACACGAAATATGATTGTGGATCTATGTTGACGTGAGTTACATATTTGTTTTAGTGGATTATCTAAAAACACGAAATATATTTGTTAGACTATCTATAAACCAATTCTATTTTGCTCTCTATTTTTTTATATTTAGAGAGTAAAATAAAGAATGGACTCTCCAACCCCTCTTTATTTCACCATCTATCCTTCATTTATAGAGAGGTGAATAGTTGGAGAACTACTATTCACACTCTCTATTTCATTTTTAAAAAAATTATTTTATTAGTATTTCTAATATATTGTAAGTAACATATTATTTTTCATATAAGGTCATTAATTGAATCTCTAATATTTATATTTTTAAAAAATATAATTTAATATTTAAAAAAATATATTATTTAATATATTTTACTTTTATTCCGAGTTAATTATATTTCAATTTTTAAAATTTTCGTCACTTTAATATAATTTAATTTTATTATTAATTTCACTATAAAGAATGGACAAAATTAAATGATCTACAATTGTTCAAAGATCCACATTTTCAAAAGAAGAAATATTTCGTGATGAAACAAGAATCGTGTCAAAAAGATGTTGAACGTGCATGCGGAATTTTGCAATCACGTTTTTGCAATTATTGTAGGACCGTCATGTTTTTGGAGAAAGATGTGCTACATGATATAACGACTACATGTATTATACTACATAACATGATAATCAAGAACGAACATGATTTTAATGCACCAATTCAAGATGTCATAGATGCTCCAAATGCAACGACATAAATGGTGGTAGATGAAAATCTATGATTTGAACAATTTTAGCTAGATATAAGAAAATTAAGGACAAAAATGTTCATTTTGAACTCCATATATACATCAATAGAATATTTATGGGAGCAACGTAAATACGTAATAATCTTAAAAGTTGACTATTCATCTAATGTTTATGTCCTTGTATTTCATTAATGATTTCCCATATATTTGAATTGTCCATTAATTTGTATACTATATAATATTTGCTTGCAATTTATGTTATTTAAAATAAAATAATTTTTCTATTAAAAAAAGAATTGAAAAAATAAAATTTTATATCATACGAAATTATATAAAGTGATTATTGAAAAAAGGAAAGGATTTATATTATGAAATAAGAATGAAATAAAAATAATAATATAATATTGAAGAGAGAGAAGAAGATTCCTTTTTTAGAAAGTAAAAGAGAAAATTGGATTGAAGTTGATTATCTGAAAAAATAGAAAACTTTATATTTGAAGAGTAAAATAGAGTGTAGGGTTGGAGATGTCTGAACTATTAATACTATTAATTTCTTTTACTTCTTCTCCTTAATTTCATTATTAATGTTATTTATATCATTTTTTAAATCACTTCTTTTTATTTGTTTGTTTTTTTAATTATCATTATTATTTTTATTTATTCTTAAAAATTAGTTATTTTAACTTTATATATAAAGTTGTATATGATAATGATGAGTCCAGAGCCAAAATGACCACTTTTTTCTTTCAAAATGCATAAAGGGCTATTGAATTTTTTTTATACTAAAACGGACAACTCACTGCTGGGGCAACGAAATCCTTTCTCAATTTTAACACCGTTAGCAACATCTTTAAATCGATCTTTCTCGCTGCAGCTGCAGTTGAATTTTTTTTCGCAGCGATTTCATCAATTTATTTTTAGATAAAGGTTGATCCGGGGGCAACAATATGCTTATTTTTTAAAATTATGTGTTGTTGAGTAAGACAACATAATGTATTCTATTTATGAAGTAATAAAAACTGCCTATTAATATTGGATACCTTTCTTTAAAGGAAAAAAAAGATATTTTTCTTTAAAAAAAATAACTTAGGACATTATAAACTTGATTATTCATGCAGGCATAATTCAATTATCCTTAATGTCATATGTTTGTAGTAATGTAAATATTGATATATATATTTAAAATCATAATTTTATCATTTTTTTAATTTTAAAAAGCAGTTTTTTTTAAAAAAATAAATTATGTCGATCAATTTATAGCACATAAAATGAAATGCAAAAAATAAACGTATGTTTCTTGCTATATCGGCAGTACAATATAAGTTTCCTTAAAAGAAAAGTACATGTCTATTTTGTTATTATTAGTGCATTAATCATTATTTTTCCTTTGTCCCACAAAATTTTAATTTTAGTTGGAAAAATTTTCTTGACATTACTTAGCTTCATGTCATTGATTTAATTATTCAAAAAGTCTCTCATATACGGTTAAATTTTTTCATACGTTATTTGATTTTTTTTTTAATTAAAATAGAAAATTGTTATTATTGAGAATATAAAATATAATATAACATGAAAAAATTATTTACCAAAAAAATTGATTATTAATATATTGTAATATTATATTATTACAGGGAATGAATATTATAAAAGTAGATTTAAAGTTTGACTACTGACCAAAAAAAACATGTTACAATAAGAAGAAAACAATGCATGCATTTTTTTTTTTTATTTTGGATGAAATCGCTGCCCCTGCAGCGAGAAAGATCAAATTAACGGTGTTAGAATTGAGAAAAGATCTTGTTGCCAAGCAACGAGTTGTCTGTTTTAGTATAAATAAAATTTCAATAGCCCTTTATGTATTTTGAAAGAAAAAAATTGCCCTTGTGGCTTCGAACTCTGATAATGATGATGTGATATCTCTTAAAAGTCATGATTACTATTTATCTAACTTCTCAAATTTTTAGAATCTTTTTTGTCATACTAAATACAATAAAGCATAATTATATTCAATATATTAAGCATTATTTACATTGTAGGAAGGAAGGTTTAATTACAATTTTATTATAATTAAGTAATGAGAAAGATATTATTTCAATATCCTACAATCACATAACCTTAATTTTTTATTAT